ACCCAAAAATGAAGGTTCAAATCAACTTTACCCCCCTCCACCTAATGTTCTTAAGGTTTTAATTCAATTTATTGTTCAAAACTCAATCGAAAGATCCCTATCAACTATTTTCACTCACATTAGTGCTAAAAATGTAACCAAACACCGGTTCAAATTTTATTTCTTGTTTAGACCGTACAATATCAAAAACCAATTCGAACCATAGAAATCCCACATATAAATTAAAAGCTTACAATTTAAATTCACATAATTCAAACCCGCAAAACAAATGAAGCCTAAGAAAATAACAACCTAGAATAATGACTCTCTATCTCTACTCACGCACCGCCTCCCTCTCCCACTAGGGTCAGAATCTGGCACCGCCTTAGGTTGAGTTGTCGTGTATCCATCCAATATAAGAGGATGATATTTGGAACCTTGCCAATCGTGGAGCATTGGGTCCAGCGAAAAATAGCACTGATGAGCTCCATGCAAGGGCATCATGGTTGTGGATATGGAGACGCTCAGTTGTGACTGCTCTGGAGCTTGCTTGGTGAAGGCCGACCTTTGTGAGATCCATTGTTGTGGGATACCAGATCGAGAGAAGAAAGGTGTCTTCATCGGATGTGTGTGTGCAACATTGGTCGCTGGTCGAAGATGGTTTGATGGTGGTGGTAGCTGGTGTTCTGCTTTTATCGTGGTGTTATCTTTATTGTTTTTATTTTTTTTTTATATATATAATAAAGGAAATGTAATTCTCGTCATGTTTTTATATTATAATAACGGTGATGATTTTCTCATCTTATGATTTCATTTGTGCATCCCACATGTCTTATATTAACATTGACAACGTATGTGTTAATTTATGACTAGAGTTATTCATAGGTTGTGTCACTCATTTTCCTAATATTTGATATTTGGTCTCGATCGACTCGCATTATTCATCGACAGTAGTTATTCTTTTTAACAACTTTAATCCCGCTTAATTTTGTATATACTGAACGAATCTTTCACGAGTGGGTCTCAACACTTATATTCACCACTATCCTTCGTACGTATTCACTAGTTGATTCAATCAATATTTGTGATCGAATTCTCTTATAGTTGTTGATCATTTATAACTATATTTATGTATGTGTCTTTGTTAATTTTAAAATGATTTTTTTTCCTTTAAATAAAAAGAAAGGAAAACAACAACCTCATAATGTTCCTCTATCCTGACTAGAAAGCCATTTATTTCCAAATTTTCCACATTGAGTCTTTTTTTTAGGAGTCATTGTGTACTTATGCAAAGGTAATTTATCACAGTGCTCCCAAGTCCCATCCCTCAATCCCATCAACCATATCATGAAAATGATAAGTTTCTTTAACTTGACAAACAACTCACGCGCGCAAAGCCATTTTCTGATGTGCTTAATCAATCGACCGAAAATGAGTACCCTATATTCATAGCAACGTGATCTGATTAATCAATAAAAGCAAAAAGTAGTTGACTAAACAGATAAACGTTTGGAACTTGGCAAATCAACTGTCTTATCGTAGCTTTGAAGGGGTATTATTGCAAGATAGAAAATGAGAGAAAACTGAATTGCAAAGTTAGTGTCAACAACTAAGTTCAAATTATGATTTAAATCATAATTTATTATTTATTATAATATTTTTTTTTATAAAAAAAATATATAATTAAAAAATAATTTTAATCACGTGATTATAAATAATAAATCAAGCGCCTCCTAAAGACTAAAAATTTAGAAGAATGTGAACAAGCCTCTTACGTCAGGATTATGCAACAGGGTTGAAACAAAATACCATTAATATAGCAAATGCTTTTTAAACATCAGGTACTGTCTTACATTAAGCCGCGTTAGACATCCTTTTTGTTTTTAATTTCTTAATGAAAAAAAAAATCTTCTCGTTTTTATTTTTTTTTTTAAGTACAAAACATGCATAGTAGCTACGTGTTAAATAATAAAAAAAAAGGTTTAGTAACTACTTGTTTAATTTCTTTCTTTCTTTCTTTCTTTCTTTTTTGTGTATATAAATATAAATATGTTTCAGTATGACGACTCTTATTTTTTATTATTATTACTACATACGTACTTAATTTATGTCTTAACATCAACTACTTATAATTATGAATTTTTCTTTTGGTTATATTTTTTTTCCTGTGGACGTGACACTAAATTATCATCCATATACCATTGTCATTCATTTGCAATTTGCAAAATAGTATCATAAGAATAAAAACATATTTTGTGACTTGAGGTTGCTAAGCATAGCCTCATAGTCCCGTGATCTTTACTTACATTACATAATCTAACCATATCCATAAATATGGTTTACTTCAAACACTTTGCAGTATTTACCAATTGCGTGTAGATCACATTACCCACTTGTCCACACTCCACTGCTTCATCCTTTCTGCATGCCTAATAATAGGTTTTAGGGAGCCGGTGCCTTACCCAAGCTTCCTACAACGCGAACAAACTTAGTTAGCTTTGGCTCAACAAGTAACAGTAGGCCATAATAAATGCAAACAACAACGCACACTCATATATGCATCCATGTCATATATCCTAATGTACTCTATACCGTTTTATGGATTTCTTCTTTCATTTCATACTTTATTCAACTATCGTTTTTGAGTCATTCGTGTTATATTCTAACATCCCGAATGACTTTCGTATTATGTTTTCTTTTTCTTTCATCTCATACTTCTTTACGACTATCGTACTCTCACGTGGAACGGTTGCCGTATTGCAATTTCATGTCTTTCATTTCTTTATGACTTCCGTACTCTCATGTGGAACGGTTGCCTTATTACAATTTCATGTATTTTACTTCTTATGGGCCCCATCCTGTTGTACCGTTGCACACATTCCAATGAGGAGTGGGAGAGCTACCCAAAATAACCAACTCACTCATGGTTTTATAATAACCTCTCTCTTGTGGAGGCCGGTACAAACTATTTTAGTTTCTTCTTTTCTTTTATCATATTTTCTTTGAATATCGTCTTACTGCCATCTTTTCTTATTATGACAGTTTTAGCCTTATTTTGCGTTTTTACACATTTCTATCAATTTCCTATGAAATTGACCTTTCTGTAAGAGTTTGACCTTTCGTTGACTTTGACTTTGACTTTAGCCCGGACTTTTCACATATTAAAATTCTACTACTACTTAAAGTTCATAAGTACATTCATAGCAGCATACATCTTGAAACATTCATAGCATCATACATCATTCAAGAAACATCATTCTCATTCTAACATTCATTGAGCATGTAACATACACAATTTTGTGCAACACGGAAGAATAAGTTCGTTCGTGTCATAGACAAAAGTAAACTACTAGTACTTATCTGCATTTCAGTTATAGCATAATTCTCTACTGGCTCAGATTTCTATCCTTTATTGCTAAATCACGTAAATAAACACCCATCCAGATGGTGAGATAAACCTTTAGTATGCTATTTTTATTTAGCACAGTCATTAAAGAATTAAATCCTTTTTTAGAACGTATTTATCACTTTTATTAGGATCGTAAAAATTTATAATTTCTATTATAAGGACTAATTAAATCCTCATAACTCTATCTTCCATAATTGCCTTTACGAGTTCGTGAATTCATAATTAACATATCCATGGACATCATATGTTCTAAATTACTTGTCATTAATCATATTGTACTTGCCTCAATTCTGAGTTAAGCGGTTCTAGTAGTACCCGCTTGTCGTGTTCCACTACATATTTCCTTGAAATTAGTTCCAGAAGAATCCATAAATGCTTTGAATGATGCACTAGCATCATTCAAGCATTAGACATTCAATTCTAAATTTTCGTACGATTCACCTCGATCTGCCTGCAATCGGTACCGAACCAGGTTTATTAGAATTGAATTTAGTCAAACGGAGGTCACCGTTGCATTCAGTATGTCGAAATGAGTCAGGATATGGTCTCGGATAGTCAAACGGAGGTCGGTAGCCTAAGAAACGACACCTCGTCAGATTCCGGGCATCGGCGACGGCGGCGGTGATCGGAGGGTTTTTCCGCGGCAGACTTCGGTCCTAGCATACCTAAATCGACCTTTCTGAGTCCATTGGTGCGGTCAATTTCACACGATTTAGCGTCTAACATCATAAATTTAACCCGTAAATTACAAACAATTCAGAGACTCAGATTTTCATCAACCGGTAATGGAATCTCGAAATTGACATAGGGCCTTTCTTCCCCAAAACCTCTCTAAGCAATTAGACACCTGTAACACACCTCATCGCCTCCGGAAAACCATGGGTTCGATCTCACCTCGACGGCGAGCGACGGCAACCTCAAATCTAAACGTGCGACGGTGAAATCATGCAAGTGGGTAATGGGATCTACATGCAATTGATAAGCGCTGCAAAGTGCTTGAAGTAAACCTATTTGTGGATATGGTTAGATTATGTAATGTAAGTAAATATCACAGGACTATGAGGCTATACTTAACAACCTTAAGTTACAAAATATGTTTTTGTTCTTATGATGCTATTATGTAAACTACAAATGAATGACAATAGCATATGAGCGATAATTTAGGGTTGTGTCCGCACGGAAAAAAAAATATAGCCAAAAGAAAAATTCATAATTATAAGTAGTTGATGTTAAGGCTAAGTTTACGTACGTAGTAATTATTACCAGAAATAAGGATGGTGACATTCAGTTTTTTGGGTTTTGTAAATCTGGTCCCCTCAATGTCTTTTGATAAACTCAAAAACGTAATTAGCAGCCGATGATTGAATTATGGGTGATGTCTTTTCCATAAGCACTTTACACAAGGAAGACAATTTAGGAAAAAACAAAAGAAAGTGGAGGAAAAATCCCATTTTTCTAGTTCCTGTTGGAGACCCCAATGTGTGGACCCCAATACTACATATATATTTAAGCAAAGCTTTCCCTAGTTATAGCTCATCCGCCATTAAAAGCTCCTGTACTACTACTACTATTCAAGTTTCTGAACAGAGAAATCAAACCAAAACCAAAAAACCTCATTCTTTACTTGACCTCATTAACTACAGCACTCAATACTTTCTCTCTTTTCAATCTCTTCCCGAGTTCTTCATCAAATGAGGCCTTTTTTCACAGTCTCTCTTCTTCTTTTGTCTCTTCTACTTTCTGAACAAGTTCAAGGTAGATATACAAAAACTTTTGTTGTGATTTTAGTAGTTTATTTCTGTCTTTGTGATTTGGTTTTGAAATCATATATTTGCCTTTTCTATTACAGGGATTCGTTTGGAGAAAGGATACTACATGTCAGTTGAACAACATAAGTCAATCCATATTCTGGTAGTTACATAAATATATATATATTGCAAGTTACAATTTAAGTTCTAATTTACATATTCAAATTGAAAACTTGTATATATTCCCTTTTATAATATGCTTCTCACCTTTTTCTCTTTCTGTATTTTTGCTGTTAAACTCAGGAGAAGGAAAATACTTTGACCAAAACAAACAACATTGGTGTCACCCAAGAGGCTGTTGTCTGTAAAGATGGAAACTGTTCAGGTACCAAGAAGAAAAGAGTCTCTAGAGTCTCCAAGAAATCTTACCACTGGTTACCAAGCATTCACGAAGATAACTATGGACCTAGGAGGCACAGATCCAGACACCATTAATTAGTTTTTTATCTCTTCTCTTAGTTATAGGTTTTCAGTCTTTTCACCTCTATAGCTACAGTAGTTCAAAGTAGTACTTTCTTCAAAGCCATAAGAGTTCATGGGTTTCAGAAACTCAAACCCATAATCACCATGTACCATGAGGGGGAAAAAAAAAAGAAGAAGAAAGGAAAAGAAAGAAAATTTCCCATGAACTTAACAAATAGCCATTTCTTGGTTAAATCTACATGGGTATTTTTTTTTAGTCATACAAAATATTCCCACAAATCAATTAGTCCTTCAAAGAAGCAACTTTTGTTTGAGAATCTACATATACATCATGAAATTCATAAGTCCCATGTGTGATATTTTGATATTTTACATCTACATAAAACTTATAAATATCCTAAGTGGTGTCTCGTTTCTACTGTTGCAGGAAATAATAGAAAACTTTTGAGTGTCACACCCTCTACTACCACTACCACCACTGCCAAGGTTGGTTATTAATTAGTTACCGAGAAAACAAGTTGGCAAGAGTTTTTGAATTAATTAAAAAAACTCCATTTTTGGCCAATATTCATATATAATACATATAATGTATAACTCTCATGCTCTAAATGATGTACAGAATGAGAAGAATGGAAAGACTAAAGCTAATCCCATTTCAAATGGCGAAAAGGGTACTAATAGATCACAAAACTATGGTCATGGGGAAGAAGAGAAATCCAGTAGTAGTACTGTTAATTCGTTGAGTACTTCTGAAGAACACCCAGAGTACGCGCACTATCCGGACGTAATAGACCTAGCTGAGATGGACTATTCTCCAGCCAGGAGAAAAACTCCAATACACAACTGATCATGAATATTATTGTAGGGAACAAGCTTTTTTTAGGGAAAAAAAAAAAAAAAAAAAAAAAAAAAAAAAAAAAGGATCCAAGCAAAACAAGAGAGAGAAAGAGAGAGAGAGAGAGAGAGAGAGACAACATTACGAGAATGCTGCAGTTTTTAGGGCTAGGAATGGCTTTTGTAAATATAGTATATTCAATTATTTATTATATTAGATTCTATTCTCATTCTTATAATATCATTTTGAGATGATTGAGTCAAGAGCACTTAGGGGTTCGTTAAGAAGTGTTTCTTTTTGTACGTTTCTTTTCCTTCTAGTGCTACTTTTGAAGCTCACTAAGCCTTTGTATGCTGTCTTCCGTGAATATAATAATATTGAAAATATATGGTAATATATTTACATAGTATCAGTTGCTTTTCAGCATAGAAATGAAGTACTCTGTTTTTTATATTTGCTCCAAATCACGCCCATATTAGAAGTAATTAAAGAATAGGGGAAGTAGCGGTTGCATGCATAACCTAGCGTTAATTGCACACCAGACTCCATCATAAGGTGAAGAGTTAAGTCCCGTTCATTTCGCTGATTCGAGTTTAAAATTTAAATTTTGCTACAGTAAAAAACTCTCACAAACAGTCACATCTAACTTTTTTGCTACAGTAAAAAACTCTCACATAAAGTCACATCTCAACTCGAATTAAAAACTCGAATCAACGAACTAAACAGACCCTTAGAATACCCCTCCCACAAGTATAAAAAGAATATTAGAATACCCCTCCCACAAGTATAATATATATAT